ACAATATGGCAGACGATTTACTTAAAATTGATTGTATTTGTCTAAAATATGCCATTTTCAATTCTGTCAATCTGATATCGAATTCGTATTCAGTTATATCGAAAATCTTTAGAACTATTAAAAATTTAGATGTTTGTAGTTAAAATCTGCTTTATTGTCGAAGTTTTGTCGGTTTCTACTCAGTTTTCGAAAAATTCGCCAAACTCAAAAAATTCAATGAACGATTACTCAGAGACAAATGAAGATTTTTTAAATTTTCAAAATGGATATTAAAGGGGAAGAGTAGTACTTTTAGACGCAATATTTACTTTTTAAATAAAAAATTATCTCTTCATGTTACATGACATCAAATATGACTAAAAACAGGTTTTTTGCACTTTTAGGTTAAAATATTTTAAAAACCTGACGTGATGGGTCTATTTTGAGGCCAGATTCGGATTCAGAACGTCGAAAACCTTCGGAAAAGTATTATCTGATTCTTGGAAAGTAAATCTTGTCGGCCTGTGTTATTAATTAAATTACAACAAAAATTAATTAAACCGATGACTTTTATTGATCCTCGTAAAAATCGTTACTTGGGGGTTTTCGGGGTTGCTGATTAAGAACCTAATGTCAGTTTTTAAAATTTTTCAAATTCAAAATGGCGGATCCAATATGGCCGACGATTTTGGAGAAACTTAACATATTCGTCTGAAAATCGTTACTCGGTGATTTTCTGTTTCGCTTATTACCAATCCGAGGTCAACTTTTTTCAAATTAACCATTGCTTTTACAATTTGTTAAAACAATTTAATTATGTTTTTTAGTTCTACTACTATATTTATAGTTCATAGATGTATAAAAATAAATAAATAAATTTTAAATAGTTTTTAATAATCATAATTAATTAATTAATTACAATTTATTATTATTATTATTATTATTATTATTATTATTATTATTATTAATTATTAATTAGTTAAATAAATTAAATAAAAATAAATTAATAAATTATTAAAAAGTAAATTCAAAATTAAACTCAACGTTAGAAACTAGAGGTGTATTCAATGTATTTAGTATTCGATTTTTTCGGGTACTCGATTTCTTTTCAGTCCTCGGAAATTTCCGTATGCATCAAGTATTCCGTATTTTAAATAATCTTGAACTATCTGATTCAAAAGTTGCGAAAATGGTGGTAAATTGTAAATTGTTAGTTCTAACTTTTCCTCTAGGTTAATAACTTATTTAACGTTTAAATATATTTTACAAAATCAAATTTAATAAAAATCGAACAATTTTTTTAAAATTCATTTAATTAGATTCTTAATCAGCGACCTCAAAAACCCCCGGGTAACGATTTTTAGACGAATACGATAAGTTTTTTCAAAAGTCGTGCGCCATATTGTATCCGCCATTTTGAATTTTGAAAAACTGACATTGGATTCTTAATCAGCAACCCCGTAAACCCCCGAGTAACCAATTTTATAAAAATCGATTCATTAATTTTTATGTTAATGTGAATTTTCTTGACACGATTTTAATTCTCTGGATAAATTGTTTATAAATAACCATAACTTTTGTAATTTTTAATATTTTGTCTGGCCACTTATGGATGTCTTTATTAGTATCATTAACTTGAAGTTAAAATACTTTTCAGAACTTAAATGAGAAAAAAATGTTGTGTCCAAATTTTCTTGATTTTCGTCCTTCGTTTTTAGAATCACCCATGTACAAAACTATTGGCGAAATAAATTAAGGCATATGAAATGACGGATGTTCATCAAGAATGTATAAAATAATATGTTAAGTACGATTGTGTAAATATCGAATGTTTTTCAATTACGTAATAATTGGCTGATATAATAACGAACAACAAAGTTGTGTGATAAAAGTTCAATGCGTAACTATATATATACCTAATAACGACAGATTCCTCTAAGGTAATTTCAAAAAAACCAACTAATATATGAGACAGTTTCTCTTCTAGACAGTTTGAATAAACAAATGATTAAACAACAGTTCTTCTAAGAAAAATTTAAATGAACAACTGAAATATACGATAGTATACGATATGTGACGATGGTAATAAATATACTTAAATGACAAAATTAATTATTTTGAATAATTTTCAGTTACTGAAAGAAACTCAGACATAATGATTGGTAGATTGGTAGATGAGTTGTTCGAAAGGTGTCCTAAGATTTAAAGAAGTTTTATATATCAAATTCGACAATGCTGAAATGTCCAGAATATTCAATTTGAGAAAGGATGGACTTGAAACGACTATATTTAAAAAAAATTGAGAAACTTATAAATTATTTTAGCTTGAAATTTGTAAAATTAATAATTTTTATTTATATTGTAAACGAGTCAATCTCGGGAGGGAGTGTTGGAATATTGTATATTCGCGCCTAATATCTCGCTTGACTCTAACAGTAGTTGATTCTACGTCACTGCCGTGTGCGCACGCACTTCTTCTTCTCGATATCGCTTCGACCGTGAACGTCTCGATCGTCTACAAGCTCTTAATAAACGACCGATTTCATCTGTATTTGTGTATTATTATTGACTACATCCTGCTCTAAATAATCTGCATGCCAACAATTGTCAACTTTTAAGTCCTGTAAAAAATAGTTAACTTAACATATTTTATATGTTAAAAATTGTATATTATTCTTTGAACATTTATGAAGAGAAAGAGAGCAGTCCGGTCAAAAAATATTAATTTTTAACGATTTTACAGCAAATCAACGAAAAAAAGTTTTTTCCCATGCAAAACACAGGTTTACAAATTAAAAACTTTTTTTTGCCAATCGAACAAAACAATTTTTTTTCGAATAGTAGGTGTTTTTTGAGTAAGAAAATCATAGTTTTAATTTTTTCCCCTCGTGCAGATTTTCTGTAGCTTCAAATTTTGCATTTTCGAGGTGCGACGCCACTTAAACTTACCGGTAGGAAAATTAGCTTGTCAAAATATAATAAATGAGGTATCATTGGAAAGGTTATTAAATTACCTTTCGATCCATAGGTCACAGAATAAAATTCAACAAAAATTGAGAGAGTTACAGTCGATTAAAGATGAAATTTCATGACAATTTTGATGATTTTTAGACATTTGAGTAACTTCTACTATTTTTTTCTACATCAAACAGGAAAGAATGTTTAGGTTTTAATTTTTTTATTGATAGACTATATCATTACACAAATTTTGAGCCCTTGTGGACCTCGATTGGATTAAAAATGACAATTCTACACTAAATTTAGTGAACGAAACTACATTCTTTATTTTTAGTATCCCTTAAACATTTGCAGCAAAAATTGAAGTAATAAAATTTAGTTAAGCTCTAAAATTACTAAAATCACTAATGAAGGATTTCTGAAATCGTAGATTTCGAATCCAATGTTAGTTTTCTAAATTTCAAAATGGCGGATCCAATATGGCGGACAAGTTTTTAAAAATCGATTAAATTCGTTACTCGGGGGTTTTCGGAGTCGCTGATTACGAATCTGATTACGGATTTCGAAAATTGAAAAGGATGGATTTATAATGGTGAACGAGTTTAAAAAAACGAGTTTTAAAAAACTCGTTCACCATTATAAATCCATCCTTTTCAATTTTCGAAATCCGTAATCAGATTCGTAATCAGCGACTCCGAAAACCCCCGAGTAACGAATTTAAGACGAATTTAATCGATTTTTAAAAACTTGTCCGCCATATTGGATCCGCCATTTTGAAATTTAGAAAACTAACATTGGATTCGAAATCTACGATTTCAGAAATCCTTTATTAGTGATTTTAGTAACTTTAGAGCTTAACTAAATTTTATTACTTCAATTTTTGCTGCAAATGTTTAAGGGATACTAAGAATAAAGAATGTAGTTTCGTTCACTAAATTTAGTGTAGAATTGTCATTTTTAATCCAATCGAGGTCCACAAGGGCTCAAAATTTGTGTAATGATATAGTCTATCAATAAAAAAATTAAAACCTACACATTCTTTCCTGTTTGATGTAGAAAAAAATAGTAGAAGTTACTCAAATGTCTAAAAATCATCAAAATTGTCATGAAATTTCATCTTTAATCGACTGTAACTCTCTCAATTTTTGTTGAATTTTATTCTGTGACCTATGGATCGAAAGGTAATTTAATAACCTTTCCAATGATACCTCATTTATTATATTTTGACAAGCTAATTTTCCTACCGGTAAGTTTAAGTGGCGTCGCACCTCGAAAATGCAAAATTTGAAGCTACAGAAAATCTGCACGAGGGGAAAAAATTAAAACTATGATTTTCTTACTCAAAAAACACCTACTATTCGAAAAAAAATCGTTTTGTTCGATTGACAATTTCACTGTAAACCAGTGAAATACATGTAAAATTTCAATAGCCTACATGCACCACTAAATATTAATTTAAAAAAAAATAAAAAATACGTATCTAATTATTTTCAATTTGTGACAAAATGAGACCCGGAAATGGACAAAATTCCAAAATGTCGTTTTTAACGGTCACCCTAATACATACACACATGCGTTCGAACTTTTGTTCCTTTTGTCAAAATATATATATACACAGCGTAACGCAAGTATAAGTGCCAACGCGAAACATTGAAAATTGAAATTCTCCGTGTATATATCACACTTGAAAATTTTTAAAAATAATTGAGTCGAAGAAATTCGGAAATTGACATCACTATAAAGCTTCCTTTGAGGAAGCAAAATAATATACGAAAATTGTTTATAAATAATGCTATTAATTAATCTAAATTATTTATCTAAAAAGATGGATAATTTATATAATACTGTCCTGATCATTTTTTCTAGTCTACATTCTAATTAGAATTTGATAGGGTTACGATCAGTTTTTCTAGATTAGAGATTCTAGTCGGAATATGGAGAGTGACATTCTAAAGTCAGGGACAAATGGGTAAATTTCTACACAGGTTATATTAAAATTTATATGAATAAATTATTATAAAAAAGTTAATTAAAATTGAAATGAAAGAAAAGAAAATACTGACCTCGCAAAGTTCACCCCCTCCCCGATTCGTCATAGATTTAAGACAGTGTAGAAGCCATGCTTCATGCTGAATTTCCAAGGAACCACCTAAACGACGTGGTAAAGAATCTCGTGGTATATGAAGCGTTAATTGAGGAATGGATACTGTAAAAACTCTGTCTCGCAATTTTTCTCTTACAAACAATCGAAGAATTTTGAATGGTGCCTTGAACCACAATGGAGCCGTAACAATGAGTACTTTCTTCAATTTTGCCGGATAAGCACCCTGAAAAAAAGTTTTTATCACTATTTATTGTATGTAATGTTATAGCAATGTCACAGTAACAGAAAATCTTTAATTTTAAAAGACGCACTATATTTTAAACAATCGTTTTAATCAAATCAAACAAAAATTAGAAATTGCTTTCTTTTAACAGAGCGTTACAAAAAAGGAATAAAAAGAGTTTCTGTGTAATAGGTACGTATGTTTCTCGTTATACAGAAATTTTACAATTTAAAAAAAATTTTTTTTGCTTAAACAATTTTTATACGTATCTTTTTTTTATATTGCTTCGTGAATTATTATTTTTATAGTTAATTATTCTCCTTATATTACATAATAAAAAATCTTTAAATTACATGAATATTATATACGAGAAAAAATATTTTTGTTTCCATCCAGTTGCATAATTCGATAATCAAATACTGCAAAATTATTATTTCGAGTGTGAGGGAACTTGATTTCTTTTAGAAATCATGGGCATGCGGACAAAATTATAAAACGAAATTATTTAACAAATTTCTCATTTTTAATCCTTCTATGAATAGTGCCTGGGTTATAAAATTTTACAAGCGACCTATTGTTCGAATTGTTTCTTCTATTAGTAAAATAAACCAATGGGTAGTCTATTTTATACGCGTGTATATATTATATTACTCACTTGCTAAATTAAAAACAATATTAATCAAACCCAATGGGAAATGCCAGTGTAGTGCCGATGTTCACCACTGGCTTAGTACTCAGACGATAGTTCGGCGTAGTCTAGCCGAGCCTCGAAAATTAGTGCCGGCGCAGTATAGAATTTTTGTTTCGCCAAAGCTTGGACAAGCCACGGCGGCAAGTGCTGGCTGAGTATAGAAAAATTGTTCACAACGCTCTTTGCCAACATTGCTTTTTTGACATAAACTTAAAAAAAATTATAAAAAAAGTTTATGGATGTTTATAAATATAAATTTATTGAAAAAAATTAATATTTTACTTTTTAGTTGTTCATTAATAGGGTTCCGTCAGTACACCGTAGGTGTACGGAACCCTATTGGTGAGACTCTTGTGTCCGTAGTCAAATCGTGTCCCCCCTAGCGACTAAACTATTTGACCTAAAGAGCTCAAATTTGGTCCAGATATGTATTTTCACTCGTAGATTACAGGAAAAATATAGCAAATGTGATTGGACGTGATGGCCATAGCGTTGTCAAGAAAAAACTAAAAAATGTTTTAAAAAAATTTTTTTCCCTAACTTTTACATTATTTGACCTAATGAGCTGAAAATTGGTATCCTGATGTATTATTACAGTCTGACGACAAAAAATTTATTTAAGAAACTTTTGGAAAAAATTTTTTTTAAAAATTTATTTAAGAAACTTTTTGAAAAAAATTTTTTTAAAAATTTATTTTAGAAACTTTTTCAAAAAAAATTTAAAAAAATTTTTTTTTAGTTTTTTTTAGTTAAAACATGTGGCATTAAATATTTTAAGGAAGAGTGAAATTTTAAGAGAATAAATGAGAGATTGTTTTGTCTCTTTAATTTCTTAACTAAAAATAAAAAAAAATTGGACAAGTGCGAGTTGTACTCCCACTGCAATGGCGGGTTCCGTACACAAATATTAAAACAATACTTGCAACATTTATCGGTAATTGGTAGAATTAAAATAAACAATTAAAAAAATATATTAAAATCATTTGATAAAAAAAAACTAAAAAAAATTAAAGTATTGTATATCTAATATTGTAAATAATAATAAGTAGAGGAACAAAATTTTTTTAATTAGTTCCTCTACTTATTATTGTTTACAATATTAGATATACAATACTTTAATTTTTTTTAGTTTTTTTTTATCAAATGATTTTAATATATTTTCTTAATTGTTTATTTTAATTCTACCAATTACCGATAAATGTTGCAAGTATTGTTTTAATATTAGTGTACGGAACCTGCCATTGCAGTGCGAGTACAACTCGTACTTGTCAAATTTTGTATTTTTATTAAATTTAATAATAACAATCTTTATAAATAAGATCAGACTTTTGTCTGTACATTGCATAGAAATGGAAAATTCATATTTAGTTTTTATATTCAAGTAGTAAGAATTCCAAAAATGCCAATAAAAAAATTATGTATGTATGTATGTATGTATGTACTAGCTGTCGTACCCGTCTTCGACGGGTTTTAGTTTCTACTAATATATTTGAACAGGTGTCTACCAATTGGGAATTTAATTTGACTGGGAAAAACTAATTTTAATTAGTTACCATTAACTATTACATTAGCAAAATATTACCATTTGAATCAGTAAATGACTTTTTCTATCAAATACTATTTTCAACTAATTCAGATTTGCAGAACAGTATTTGTCAATTTGTAGTACTTTATGCATTCGTAGTATTTCAATTAATGCATTAATAATTAATACTAATTTTCTACCAGCTTTTGGAGTTATGTAGAGTCTAATTCGAACTAATTGTATTGCAAGTAGGCCCCACGTTACGACTGCTAAAATCGAAAATAAGACCTATATTGTAATCTGAAAGTAAGTCTTAAATTTTGACAAATAAAAATATTACATCAATAGAAATTAAAGCAAAAAGCAATTTTTTAAAAATGAATTAATATAATAAAACTTTTTTTAATTAGATAAAAAAATTCCCGATTTTTCTAGTCGAATTAAATTCCCGGCTATTTCTCGGGATACCTTTGCGATTAATAGACACTCTGTTAAATGTATTAGTAGAAATTATAACACGTTTTTGATTCCCACATGGGAAATCTACATGGGATCCACTTTTACAAAGGAAACCATATTGATTCCTATGTAAAACCGTATGGTATAATTTTTCCATATCCCTATTAAAAATTTCCACATGGGATTTTACATTTTACCCGTTTTTGCGTAATGCCCGGATAGAATTTTGGAAAGCAACAACATACCCCAAACATTTCTAAAATTTAAGAAGAACAATTTTAATTCATAAATAGGAATTTGTTATTTATTTTCAAAGTCATTTCTAAAACATTTCTTGAATTCAAAAAAAAGAAAATTTTGATTCATAAATCCCAATTTGCCCTAATGGCATCTTAAGGACTTTCTGTGTCCCAGTACCCGCTGAAGTCAAATTTCAGTATTATTGATACTTTTACTGTATACCCTTTATATTGAACATAAATATTTTATTTTCTACGTTAAATATGACAATACATACTATGAAATTTTCAAACTTAAAACCTGAAAATATCAATATAGAAATTGTTTGCAAACTCTCACGTTAATTGCTTTTAGAAAATTTGTAATCGGCATCAAATTCATGACTCTAAACTTTTTAATAAAATAAATGTAATGAATGTAATTTATAATTTTAAAACATCAACCGATATCAATACCAACTTCATAAAAAATTAAACAATATTGAAAAAAACTAATTAAAAATTTTGTCGAAAATCAAAAATATGATTTTGGCTTAAAAATTCGGATATATTATTTATATTTCATTTTTATAGTGAAAATTAGTTGTATTAATATTAAAAAGTAGCTACAGAAAGTGTCACATAAATTTGCCAAAAAATTAAAAAATTTGCATTTTTTTGATTTTTTGAATTTTGTGAAAAAAGCTATAACTTTCGTTCAGCTTAATATTTTTCAATCGGATATGGCTAGAAATTTAAATTAGATCAATACCTAAGAGACTGTAAAGTGTCGTTTTAATCGGTCAAGTAGTCTTTGTGTTTATCCCGGACAAAATATCGCGGACAGACATACATACACACATACATACACACAGACATACATACATACATACATACATACATACATAATTTTTTTTATTGTCATTTTTGGAATTCTTACTACTCGAATAGAAAAACTAAACATGAAATTTCAAATTCTATGCAATGTACAGACAAAAGTCTGATCTTATTTATAATGTATGTATGTGTGTATGTATGTCTGTCCGCGATATTTTGTCCGGGATAAACACAAAGACTACTTGACCGATTAAAACGAAACTTTACAGTCTCTTAGGTATTGATCTAATTTAAATTTCTAGCCATATCCGATTAAAAAATATTAAGCTGAACAAAAGTTATAGCATTTTCACAAATTTCAAAAAATTGAAAAAATGCAAATTTTTTTAATTTTTGTTAAATTGATGTGACACTTTCTGTAGCTACTTTTTAATATAAATACAACTAATTTTCACTATAAAAATGAAATATAAATAATAAATCCGAATTTTTAAGCCAAAATCATATTTTTGACTTTCGACCAAATTTTTAATTAGTTTTTTTCAATATTGTTTAATTTTTTATGAAGTTGGTATTGATATCGGTTGATGTTTTAAAATTATAAATTACATTCATTACATTTATTTTATTTACAAGTTTAGAGTCATGAATTTGATGTCTATTACAAATTTTCTAAAATCAATTAACGTGAGTTTGCAAATAATTTGTGTATTGTTATTTTAATGTTTTAAGTTTGGAAATTTCATAGCATGTATTTTCATATTTCATTTAACGTAAAAAATAAAATATATGTATATGTTCAATATAAAGGGTACAGTAAAAGCATCAATAAAACTGAAATTTAACTTCAGCGGGTACGGTAACATATAAAGTCCTTAAAACACCATTAGGTCAAATTGGGAGTTATGAATTAAAATTTTCTTATTTTTGAATTCTAGAAATGTTTTAAAAAATGTTATAAAATGTTATAAAAATAAATAACAAATTCCTATTTATGACTTAAAATTTTGCTTCTTGAATTTTAGAAATCTTTGGGGTATGTTGTTGCTTTCCAACATTATATCCGGGCATTAAGCAAAAACAGGTAAAATGTAAAATCCCATGTGGAAATTTTCAATAGGGATATGGAAAAATTATACCTACTTGAAAAATAAAAATAGATTTTACATGGAATTTTTTTAAAATAAATATAGGCTTTTTGGGTTAATTTAAGGTATAGTTATCACTCAAAATCGTGTCGCAATTTACCATACGGTTTTACATGGGAATC